GCTATTTGAATTATCTGGTAATTAATTAATTAAGTAATTAATTAATTAAGTAATTAATTAATTAAGTAATTAATTAATAATATAATTAATTAATCCGGATTAAGATAAGCTTTAAGTTAGAAAGGAAAGATAGTTATTATTATTAGATAATAAGCTTCCCCCCTTAGGGGCTATAGCTATAGCCGGGCTATTTATATATCTGGCTGTATAAATAGCTCCTATTATTAGAGTTTTTAAGGTATTAATACCTATACTTAGGCTGAAAGTATTTAATTTTAACTTTATCTTATAGTATTAAAGGTTTAGGTATAGACTACTAATTATATTCTTAAAAAAATTATATAATCTAGTTATATATTACCTGATCTTAGGATATACCCTTATTTATAGTAAAACTAATAAAAAAAAAAAAAAAAAAATAACTTACTATTAGCTTAATCTTACTACCTATAGTACTATATCCCAGGCGGTAGGAGTATCTTTTAGCTAGCTTCAGAGTACTAAGATTAAGCTTATTCTTTATTACTAGATATAGTATATCTTCAGCTTTTACTATCTAGAGATTTTAAGTAGAAGAGTTACTATAAGAAAAATATAATTAGTTATACTATAATAGTAAAATAAAATACTCTCTTATAGAAAGATCTAAATATTTTATTATCTACTACTAGTAAGTACTCTATAACCCCCTTTTTTATATCTACTATATCCTCTATATAACTTATCTTACTCTCTATAATTCTATACTCCTCAACCTCTACTGCCTCTATTCCTACTATATATAGTATAAGCTAAGATAGATAATCTCTTATACTTTATAGGAGGAAAAGTAGTATCAGATAAGCTAAAATAGACCCCTAATCTACAGATAGTATAGGTAGTAATTCGGTTTATAATAGAGATAAAAAGACTAGATACTTACTATATAGAATAATAAACTAACTAACAGTATATAGTAATAAGTAAAAACTACTACTACTAAATAACTATAGCCTTAAGCTAGTAGACCAGGCTTCAGCTGCTGTAGATAGGATACTAAATAATTGGAGAATTAGGGCTTTAAGGTAGCCTGTTACAGAGTTAAGTAAGGTAAGAAGTAACGGATAAAGAATATAGGGCTTCTGGGAGATATGGATAAGACTGTCGAAGTATATGTAGCTAAACATACTTGGCCCTATAAGGTAAATCCTCCCGGGCGTAATAAACTTCATTCATTCATTCATTCCTGGCCGCAGCTATGGGGAGCTAGTAAGCTAATGAAAGCGCGCCAGCATTTTAAGGCCGATCTGGCCCTTTACAGGAACATGAACACTTCTCGGATCATGTGCTGCAGGCTCGGCAGAACCATGACACCGACTTTCCAGCAAGTCTACCATCCTCTCGGCTGAGAGGCCGTCTCTGCTGAACAAGCCAGGTTGCCTTCTTCTCAGGGTTGCGTCCTGGCTTTTTCTTGTGTTATTAACTCTTTATATGCATTTGATAAGCTTCTTTCGAAGAGATATTCATTTCTTTTTAATGAGATGATGATACCAGCTAAGACCTATCCCCAATCGTTATAGTTCGACACTTTCGACACATGGTTTTTCTCGTTCCCTGACATGTGCCCGAGAGGCCGGGGCACGCTGAGGGTAGATAGTGTTAGCAGTGGTTACCCTTCTGCTGTAAAAGAGGTGTTCCACATACGTAAATTTCAACACTGGGCCGAGGCAGGTTGTGGCTTCCAATCTGGCGCTTTGCAAGGAACAGCACTCACCTTGCCACATATTTGCGACGGAACTTGCAAAGAAATTACTGTGCCTATGAGAATGTTTCTTCGTTCCAGTCTTTTCACGGGAGTGGCCAACTAGAGCGATGCATCATGAGACTAGGGCGAAAGGTTCACCATCTGAGGAATTGGCCTGACCTCCTGGCTCTGAAACTGAATGCACCAGATACTAGGAATGAAGACGAGGAATGAAGACGAGGTATGAAGACGAGGAATGAAGATTTGACAAGCTGCCCTGTCCCTCAAGTCGCTCAGCATGTCTGTAAATTTCTTGCACCGTGCACCGTCCTGACTGCTGTCGCGGCTGTGCAATCACTTGCAGTGCCGACCGGCTACTCGTCAAGATCGTGATGTCTCGGCGTCGCAGTCCGTCCGGCAGGCCTCGTAGCGCCGTCGCTATCGCCGCTAGATCACCTGTGTATGTATTCTGGTCGCCGTTTGAGCCGATCATCGATGAGCACTTGGCCAGCATTTGACCGTTCCTGACCGACGCGGTTTAGCGGTTAAGAAAAAAAAACCTCTTTATTTCTGTTCAAGCTAACATCCCCCAGTATTCTACTTCGATTAATAAATATAAGGGATTGAAGTGCTGTCTACGCGCGATATTACTCTTTTAATAAGTGTAACCGTCGATTATTATGCGATAAAGGCTTGTGTTGGTGTTGCTACCAACAGCTTCCAGATTCACAGGTAAAAGGGATAAATTGAGACTGTTGCTTCTAACTAGTAATTACAGAAGGGATCCGCGGCCCTTATATCCCTGAGAATCCCTCGATCGTATTCTTATGCGAGCAGCCCGGTCTCGGGCTCGTAAGGTTATTCCGATATCCCTTTGGCTAGTAATAACTAGGGATATTTATATCCGGATGACCGAGGTCATCCTCTTCCTTCGAGCCGTGTGTTCAATAGGATCAGAACGCTCTTCGAGGCATCGGCCCTGCGCTGTTCTCTCGGTATTAGGTTGATCGTCGGGTCAGTAGGTTCGTGATCAATCCTACCGGCTAGGGTTACTCGAGCTGATAGGTCAGGGCTCTGACGATCGGGTCCAGTTAGGTCGTAACCTTCCAACCTAGCCAACTGACTCCTCTCGGTGAAACTGATCCTTCTCGGTCTGTTGTATTGTAGCCGCGGGTATCGTGTGATTGAACCTTACTCTCGCCTTCGAAGCCGGGCCGGCTTCCACGGAATTCCTGATGTTAGTTGCTAGTAAATTGTATGTGCGTTCGAACAGGCTGGGCTGCGGGCTTCAATGTTCATGGATTATCTCGGTAGTTGACGATAGCTTCCTATCGCCCGCTTGGCTCCAACAGCTTGACTCAATGCCGATTACAATTACATAGTCATCAACTCACTCCTCCGGAGGCCTCACTGAGCTTGCCGATAACAAGCTGCAACAGGCGTTGATTTATATATTTATCTTTATCAGAATACTGGCACTAGAACTATCTACATACTATCTTTCAACTTTATTCCTTCTTATCCGCAATACTATATATCATTCTCATTGCAACCTCGTTATACTGCTCGTCGGTTATCTCATGGCTTAGAATTACCCGGATCGTATACGATGTTGCTATAATTGAGTCGAGACTCAAATTCCTCTTCCGAATAACACCTATTATAACTGATAAAAGAGCCTCCATAGGAAATGCTTGTACCTTACGAAAAGTTCCATTTGTAGCGATATTCTGAATTATAATATCGACAGCAGGAGGCCTACTATAATACCCCGGGCTATTATCATCTTTGATATTCCGGAGCTCGCCTGACTTTGGGTGAATATATTTTCCATCAACCACAGGAGTTCTAAGCTCGCCGTTCCATCCTGGATCATGGAAGCCAAGGGTTGCCATAGTAGAATATAGTAAACTGCAGCTAAGTCAGAAGATGCAAGGGAATAGGTAAGGATCTGGATATATATAGAAGGAGGGGGAGAAAGACCTGAAACAAGGGCTAGAGGTAATATAAGAGTAATATATTATATAGAGCTGGGGCAGTAGCTACTAGAGCTGGAAAGGAAAAGAATTCGAAGATTAGGTATAGTAGAAACTGATAATCGAGAGATCGGGGGTATAAAACTGATCTAGAAAGAAGATAATAAAAAGAGAAAAAAACGAGCCCTGAAAAAGTCAAGTTGAGAATTTATACAAATAACTCTAGGCTGCAAGATCCGACCCACCCTTCAGCAGAATACGATGACTATGTATTGGTTCGTTGCTTCTTGCCCCATTGAGGAAAACCATGTCTCCTCTCGGCTTATATTCCCGGATCAGTGGGCTGACTTATAATACCAGTTTCAGGTTATCATTGTTGGTCGTGCAGCTTATGCAATTAGATCCTCTCGAGGAGCATAATTTAGGGGCAAAATGAAAGCAAAACCCTAGCTATTAGGGTATTGCCGGAATATACCTGCAGGTAGCTATCAGCGGGTCTTGTGAGGCTATGCAAGATGAAACCATTCCACACCATCGTAACATCTTACCACTTGCAGCGGTAATATGGCATCTAATATTTCGACGCCCGACCCGCAACAAGTTAGCCGCTGACCCCCGGTTCTATACTATAAGGCACGGAGCGCATTCTTGATGTTCCTAAATCAAGGATCCCAGCCTCAACCCAGTGGCGCCACACAGAGCAATAGAACGGCAAGTATCAACATGTTCTAGAGGTGCTCTATCGTTTAAAAAAGGAATATGGCCAGATCTTGACGACTTAGATGATTATCTATGTGAATCAATCCATAAATTGTCCATGTTGCGAATACAGTCATAGTTCTATTTGTTGTTCTCCCTCCTCCAGCTTATCAACACAAGACTAAACCATGAACTATGGCTGAAATGGTCGAAATCATGGCAAAAGGACCAACACCAACGGCCCATCTTAACCCAATACAGCGCCTCATATACAGCATGCCCTTGCCTTTCGTGACAGAACCTATTATATTCATACCTCTTGCCTCTATCATTGGTAAGATGCTGCGAAATGAAGAAGTAGGAGCTGAAAATTGGTGCACTAGCCAACAAGAGAGTAATTAGATACGTTACTGTAGACTTGCCACCTGATTCTAACTAACTGTCTCAGGAACACTCCGTTCCATTGTGCAACCCAAAATCTATATAAACCAAGTGCTACTCTTCACAATTCAACTCATCGCAATTCAACTCAGACATTTCTCAATCAATATCCTACAACAGTACTTCTTTATATTCATCAACAAAATATCTTCGTCCTCATTATGAAGCTTTCCTCCCCTCTTGCTGTTTTCCTCTTCCTTTCTGGAGGCGTCGCTGCCTACCAGTACATGAGGCAGGATGACCTGGATTCGGTAGGCAATCTCGTCCTGAGGGAAGAGGCGGGTTACTCTGGCACGGGCCACCTTGATGCTAGGTCCCAGAAGCCTCCTGTGCGAGGCGTTGCCAAGGGCAAGAAGCCTGCTGCGAAAGGCCGTGGTAAAGCTCCAAAGAAGGAGGTTGTCGTTCGAGCCAAGCCATTTTAACGTAGTTAGTGAAACTAAAGTTAAAGCTTTTCTTATCAATATAAAAATTTCTATTTTTATAATCGATTCCTTAACTTAATAGTAAAGTATATTTTTAATAAGAATAAAATCAGTATTTAATTCACTGAGGAATTATATACTGGTTATTAGCTATAAAATATTCAGGTAAGGGTAGTAATAGTAGTTTTACTATAAAGTAATATATAAAAGAGAATTAGCTGAGTAGTTTAAGGTAGTAAGTTTGAGTTTTATTAGGTGTAAGAAACTGTATCCGTTCGAATCGGATATTCTCTGTAATTCGTAGTATTAGTATTGCAAATTAGCTATAGTACTAGCGCTACCCTGTAGAAAGGTAGTAGGTTATTTAATATACGCTAGTATACTGCCTTCTTTTAGGTAAAGATTTCATAGTAAGCTCTAGTACTGCTTAATCTTAACATAATAGATTCTTTCCAGGGTTCGCGAAGAGAGGCCCCCAAACGAGGGCCCCTACTTACGTTTATGGCTGGACGGGTGGTCTGACTCCCGATGCGAAATGTACGAATGGGTCGAAGGAGGACGGTTGCAGGTGTGACTCCAGAGGCACATATTTGTGCACAGACGACGATCTCAAGACTCAGTGTTCAAAGGTTGGCTGCAAGAAAAATAATAGGGTACCTCCATCAACCTCATCCAAATATCAAGAACAAACACACTGACGTGACTACTAGGGCTGAGCCAATTGAATGGCCATATTCGCGCTTGGAATATCCGCCTTGTTGCCTCTTTTGAGGTTACTATGGACTAGGGATGTTGGAGCGAATGGAATGAGCATTTATGGGGAATCTTTTCAGGACGGCTGTAGAGGACTTTTGCAAGGGATTTTCCTTTAGGTGCTGCAATTCACAGCAACGAACAGTGGCGTATTCATATGATAGTCTACACTGCATTAGGTACTTTGAGATATTGGTATATTTATACTCAGTATTACTTGATATATATTTTTCTTAGTATATTATAAACGAAATATATATATCTCAAACTGCTCTTAATATAATTTGCCTTTGTTAGTATTACTACTAACAGCTTTTAGATTTATAGGTAAAAGAGATAAATTAAGACTATTATTTCTAACTAGTAATTATAGAGGGGGTCTATAGCTTTTATATTCTTAAGAATCTCTTAATTATATTCTTATATAAATAGCCTAGTCTTAGGCTTATAAGGTTATTTTAATATCCCTTTAGCTAGTAATAACTAGAGATATTTATATTTAAATAATTAAAATTATTCTCTTTCTTTAAGCTATATATTTAATAGAATTAGAATACTCTTTAAGATATTAGCTCTATATTAATCTTTTAATATTAGATTAATTATTAAATTAATAGATTTATAATTAATCTTACTAGTTAGAATTACTTAAGCTAATAGATTAGAACTTTAATAATTAAATCTAATTAGATTATAATCTTCTAATCTAACTAATTAATCTCTTTTAGTAAAAATAATCCTTCTAGATATATTATATTATAGCTATAGTTATTATATAATTAAATCTTATTTTTATCTTTAAAGCTAAACTAGCTTTTATAGAATTTCTAATATTAATTAGTAGTAAATTAAATATTAATAGTATATAGTAGCTATAGGCTATATAATATAAAAATAAATCTAGTAAGTATAGCTATTAGATCTAGAGTATTATTAGTAATTTTATTACTATAAATAAGTTCTTAATTATTTAGAGAAATATATATTAAATATATTTAATTAAGAGCTATATACTATTATCTTTTATAATCTTTATTATTTTATTAAGGTTTATATTATATATAGTAATTAAAGCTCTATAAGTAAAAATAATTATAGAAGATAATATATTATAGATATTTAGTATTAATAATATAATTAATTAATTAATTAAAATAAGTATTAAAATAGAAAGAAAAAATAATTATTATTATTAGATTATAAGTTTTCTCTTTTAGGAATTATAACTATAGCTAGATTATTTATATATCTAGCTATATAAATAGCTTTTATTATTAGAGTTTTTAAAATATTAATATCTATATTTAGATTAAAAATATTTAATTTTAACTTTATTTTATAGTATTAAAGATTTAAATATAAACTATTAATTATACTTTTAAAAAAATTTTATAATCTAGTTATATATTATTTAATCTTAGAATATATTTTTATTTATAGTAATTATAGATATACTGCTTCTCTCTTCAGTTTAATAGCCTCCTCTAAATAGGTAAGATATATATACTACTATACCTATATCAGTATAATTATATACCTCCTCCTATATAAGATAACTCCTACCCTTAATACTATATAGATATATCTTTAATATTTTTCTCTCCTACTGCTCTACTCTTATCTTATATTACCTCTACCTCTCCTATTATTTCCCTTCTTCTGACTTAATAATACTTTAGCTACTAATCTATTAGAATAGCTATACCTCTCCCCCTTAGTATCTAGAGGAGGTAGTTATTATACTCTATAGTAGACTATATAAAGTAGAATAAGATACTTAAAGAGGAGATTAAAACTTATAGTTTTTTTTTTTCTTTTAAACTATATCAGTCTTTTTCTATCTTCTTTATAGTTTCTATCTCTCTTCTATTATTATAGGGTACTTATAATACCTAATATTCTAATAGTATATCTCTAAGTATCTGTTTTATAGTATAATAAAGCTTTTAAGTAAGTAATATATCTTACTATAGTATTTCTTCCTATAAGGCCTCTGATAAATAACTAGCTAATAGTAGAAATACTATAGTAGCTTATTCTAGCCCCTGATATATAATAACAGAGTAGATATAGTCTAAGTTATTATTTTACTTAATAGCTACTAGGGTATTAGTAGTAGTAAAGTTATAAGAGTATTATAAGAATAGTCTCTTCTGGTATAGTATAGGGCCTTAGCTTCTATATTATACTAGCTGATATATTACTACTATATAGTTAGCTGCTATTCTGCTATAAGATAAGAGCAGCTAATTTAAAAGAGGTAAGGAGTCCTGGTTAGCTCTCTATAGCTAGCAGTCTTATCCCCTGACCCAGCTAGTAGTAGAAATACTATAATACTTACTAATAGCTCTAATAGTATAATAGAGTATAGTACTATCTCGGGTTAATTATTAAATACTGATTATAGTTATTCCAGGGGGGTATCTAGGATAAGGAGCTACTGATTAGCTTGCAGAGAGGCAGCTGGTCACTATCTCCCTGCTCAGGGGCAGTAAATATACTAACTACTAAGAAATCCTCCCTTAATTACTACCTACTCTTTCTAGGCTTAACTACTTCTATACCTCTTATAATAACTTAGTAGTTATAATAATATAAGAGGCTAGTATAATTAGTTAGTATAAAGTAGACTCAGTTAAATAAATATAGTACTAAGCTTATATTTCCCCTATTAAGCTGAGTTATTCTATATTATCAGGTAGCTACTTATTAGCTAAAATATAGAATAAACTAATATAAGAGAAGGGTAATAAGCCTTAAACTAGCTCTATATAATTAGCTATCTGCTTATTAGTATAGGTATAAGGTAGTATATATTAGAGATAAGAGTTAGTACCTAAGAGGGAAAGGGTTAGTAAGTTTATATTAGGTTAGTTATAGTAGATAGTACTAAGGTTAAGATCCTTTACTACTCTATATAGGATATAGCTAAGTAACTTTATAGTTAATAGGTATAGTAGAGTATATCTATCTTAGATATAAATTATTATAAAAGTCTAAGAGTATATTTATATAAAGATAAGAATAGAGATAAGGGAAGAGTAGGGGGGGGAGGTATATAATTAGAAGGTAATCTGAGTATTTTTTATTTATATAAGATATCTAATACTCTTAGTAAATAGAAGTTCTAAGGGTAATACTAATAAAACTATCCTCCTTATATAATAGAACTCTTTATAAATCTTAATAATATAATTATCTAGACTTCTCTAGCTATTCCTGGTTTAGAGTATACTAATTATATAAAATAGTAGAAATCCAGCTCCTCCCTAGAACTCTTCTTTCCCTTACCTTCTATATTAGCTTCCTATAATTAAATATCTTATAAACTAATCTATATTTTATTTAATAATAAGAGTATATTTAATATAGATAAAGAAGTAACTTATAATAGCTCTTAGGATATAGATAACTTAAGATTAGATAATACTCTTCTATTAATTAATATAATATTTATATCTATTAAGAAGAGCTTATCTATTCTATTATCTATAAGTAAGTATTATTAAGGTATACCTTTATAAAAGTATTTAAATATAGCTAATTATCCTATATAGGATCTCCTAATAATACTAACTAGCTATAGCTATTTAATCCAGATATAATTCAGTTAAACTAGAAAGCTATAATAGATCTAGATATCTTACTTTCCTATATACTAATAAGTATATAAGCTAGTAGTAATATACTTAGCTATTTATTAGATAGCTCTAGCTATACTAGGCTAGTTACTAAAGATAATACTATTATACTAGGCTACCTTCTGAAGATACTAGAGATATTCTGTTCTAAGAGCTATAAGGCTTTTAATACTATAGCTATTCTACCTTAGAACAGGATAGAATAGATATAAGATAATTTATAGAGTATATTAAAAAGCTATTTAAAGTATTACTCTAATTCTTAGTCTAGCTCTAACTCTAATAGTACTATATAGTAGTATAGAGAGGATAATCTTATACTATTTACTTTACTATTATTAGATATCTATAAAAAAGAGAAAGTATATAGTAATACAGAGGATACTATTAATAATAATATTAGTTAGCTTCTAACTAGGTAGTTTTACTATAAGAGAATATATAAAGACTACTTTATCCCTAAGTAAGATCTAGCCTCCTACTATAATTCTGATTCTAATATTAGCTTAAACTCTAGTTCTAATACTACTATATATAATAATAAGGATTATTACCCCTCTTCTTACTATAGTAAATAGGAATAAGTAAGTAATAATTCTATTAATAATAAAGTAAATAGATCTAATCCTCTCTTTCTATATAAATATTAGAAATTAGATAGATCTTAATCTAGTTTCAGACTATATTATTATAGTAAATATCTTACTAACCCTATATAAATAGTTAATCTATTAGGACTATATATACTAGTTTATAGTATAAGTTTAGTATTATTATAGAGCTTATTTACTATAGCTAATAAGGAAATACTAGCTATAAGATATAAGGAATAATCTTTATAAGAAGCTATACTTAAATACTTAGCTATAAATAGTAAAATAATCTTTTAACTAGAGTTTAGCTAGGATTTATATATTAGTAGCTATATACTAAGCTTATATAGTAATAATAAATTCTAAACTTAAGTAGTAAAGAGATTATACTAAATATAGTAAAGCCTAACTAGTTATAGTTTTACTTATAAGGAGGATAATCTTATTATTAAATTAAAAAAAGAGTAGTAGTTTTATTAGCTAGAAATCTATAAAAAATTCAGTAATAAATTTCTATAATAATAATCTCAGGAAAGCCTTTAGGTTTATTACTATATAAAGCTGAAAAGTAATAAACAGACTGGGAGGAAGTCTAGATAGGGTTAGACTATAGAATAAGTTTTATATAATAAATTATCTAAAGCCTATTAAATATTATAGTCCGGGTAGGATAGGGGTTTTACCTAGAGAATAAATTTAACCCCTATTAAA